CGGGGAGGGTGAGGGTGAGTAAGCAGCCTGGAGCTGGAATTCTGACTCAGGGGCCAACACCGTATCCTCCACCCCTACCCCCACCCGGGCCCTCACCCCGCCCTCGCTGGGGGGGGGTGGGGAGGGCGGAGAAAGGGGGCCCCCAAAGCAGCAAGCGATTTAAGCCTCGTAAATCACTTCGCCCTGAAAAAAATATATTTATTATTCTTAGCATTTTACGCATTATTTGCAGAGCGGAGGGTATTAGAAATTTCAAAACAGCCCAGCGAGAGGCAGGACTGAGCCGAGGAGAGGCTCTAAAACTCGCGGGGTCCGGAAACAGATACGCGGAGTTTCCTTATCTTCAGGCTGCAGATGTCCGGATAGGAAACTCCGGCAGGAGATCCGAAAGGGCATTTTTTTTAAATCACTCAAATGAAAATACACAGTATAGGTGACTCCATGGAAAAATAATAAAGGGCAGGTTTTTTTGGTGGTTGGTGTGAGTGTGTGTTTTATTTAAATAAGCGTGAGGAGATTGTGTGCTGGGCTACAAGGAAAATTACTTCATGGCCCTATTTTTAAAAAAAAGAGTTAAACAGAGGCCAGGGGACAGGAGTTGGGCCCTTGGACACTCAACGTTGGGGATTCCTGAGCTTGGTGGGGTGAGGATACCTGGTTGGTTGCGGAGGGGGAAATCTGGCCCGGGGCGGGAGGGGGGTGGAATCTGGCCTAAAAGAAGGGCCACCCCAAGCGATTTTAATGATAAAAGGATTTCAAGATGCAAAGCAGCTGTCTGGGAAGGGTTTGGTGGTGTTACTATTATTTTTTAAATAAGCCGCTGGCCGGGCCCAGGTTGGCGGGTTCTCCCCAGCCACCTGCTGCCCCGCGCTTACCAGTCTCCTCTTGGGCTTGATTAGTGGCCGGTTCTGCCCGTTCATCTTGTGGTAAAGCCCGCAGGCGTTACACAGGTAGTGGCCGGTGCCGTCTCGCCGCCAGAGAGGGGTGGCCGTGGCCCCACAGTTGACACACTCCCGGCCTTCTGAAGGGTGACAAGGAGAGACAGTGGGCCTGCCTGATGGACAAGGTCGCGGGAGAGAGCCAGCGGGCAGGCGCCGACCAGGCAGCGGTCGGCCTCAGCCCGGGCTGCCTCGGGGGGTGACTTTTAGTTCCAGCCCTGGGCAGGAAGAGGGACCCGGAGGAGGTTTCCCCCCCCGCAGGAGAGGAGTTCAGAGAGTAGCTTTACGGCCAAAGCTCCATCTTCAAAACCCTCTCTCGAAGGAAGGGAAGCAGGGCAGGAGGGAGGAGTGGGGCCAAGGCCCCAGGGATTCTCGGCGCGACAATGAAAGGGTATTTACAGCAAACTTTGCCGAGGGCAGGGCGGTGGCAGGAGTGGCCCCACTCGACCTGGCCGGGCCTGGGAGGGCTCTGGCTCGTTTTCTGGATCTGCCTTTTTTCTATCTTCCCCTGTTCCCCAGCTGTGTCTGCCACCTCCCGATTCTCAGCCCTCAGCTCCTACCCTCCTTCTGTTCTCCAAGCAGGGGAATTCCTTCTTTCTCCCCAACTTCCCTCTCTTCCGCTGGGGCCCTAGAATTCAGTCCCGGACTCAGATCGAAGGTGGTGTTCTTTAAAATAAAAGAAGCCGTAAGCCCTTTCGTTTTTAAGCCAAGTAGACTAAGCGACCTTGGTCTTCAGTTGATGGTGGGTTTTTTGGTTTTTTTGTTTGTTGTTGTTGCTAAAAGACCATCTGGAATTCAAATCGAATGGATAAAGCAAACTTGGGAGAAGGGGCTAGTTAAAGGCAAGACAGCTGGCCTGAGCGGAACGGGGACCCCAAGGTGGGGCTGAGGTGGGTGCCCAGGGTGGCGGCAGCAATCAGGCCAGGGAGCTGGACAGCCTGGCATCACGCAGCCCCTGGGAAAATGTCTCCCCATTTAGTTTCAGCTAAATTGTCTATATATATGGCCAAGGAAAGGTTCCTAGACTCAGGAGTAAAAGTTAAAAAAAAAAAAAATCTTCCTCTTTTTCGGCTTACAGGGATCGGGAAGGAGGCACTGACAGCCCGGAGCCCCGCATCAGCCCTGGTTTCTGCTCTATTGCCAGATTCTTGGACAAACCAGCTAGGCTCCAGCCTGTCTCCGCAGAGGCACCTACACTTCGTCCCCCACACTCCAGCCTTCAGGGAGGGACAATGAAGGACACGCCAGGGGGCAGGGAGCAGGAACAAGTCCTGGGAATGTTGCTTTGGGGGAAATCTCCCAGGGAGATTGGGAAACATCAAAATCCCAAGATTGGACTGATTGAGTTGGAGAACCAGATTCCTTGAGGGTCTGGAGCATCTACAGTGCTCCCACAGCCTGCTCACACACTCACAAACACACGTACGCACAGCCTCCCTGTTGTCACTTGCGTACTGCTTTCTCATAAACTAATCAAGAGGTTGTTCAAATTTTCACTTAAGATCCAGGGAAGGGAAGGGGGAATTCCCGTTCTGTGTTCTGTCTGGTAGCAGCCACAACCTTGAAAGGGAGGGTGAGAGGCGGAGAAGGGAAACGAACTTTGGGGACCCCTCAGAACAGTTAAGAAAAGGGCAAAAGTTTGAGGGCTCCCTCTTTCCCATTCTGGAGTCTCAAACATCTGTTGGAGGCTATTGGAGGGGAACATGACCCATCCCTAGATCTGGAAGACTGACATTGCCCTATCTCCCATATCATAGCCCTCCTCCCCCAACCATACACACAAAAGCACAAACCATCCCCACTTCCACAAGGTCCCTGGCGCTGGCCTTTACCTGAGCAGGAGCGTGCCTTGCTGCGCTGCTTAGGGGTGAAGCTGGAGGCAGGGCCACCCAAGAAGCCTCCAGGGTGGAAGAGTCCGCTGCTGTAGTCGTGGGCAGCGGCCGGCACGTAGGACGGGTAGGTGGGGATGGGGTGGTGTGTGGCAGGCTGGGTGCCCATGGCAGCCAGGCCTGGGCGCAGGGGACTGCCGCTTTCCATCTTCATACTATCAGTCAGTGACACCTGGTACTTGACGCCATCCTTGTCCTCCCCCCGGGCTGCACTACCCCCTGCGGAAGAGGAGCCTGGAGAGGCAGCCCCGGTGGTGCTGGGGTCGGGAGACACTTCCTTGGGCGGAGTGGGTGGGAATCCAAAGAGGTGGGAGCCCGAGTGGGCTGCCGTGGGAGTGAGGGAGGCCACAGAGCTCCCGCTGCCTCCCGCACTCCCACCCCCTGCCCCTGGGTACACAGAGAGGGGACCTCCAGGGCCTCCGGCCGCTGAGGGGTGCAGCGGTGTCTTGGAGAAGGGGCTCACGGTCCAGGGATTGTGGTGGTGGGCCGCAGCGGCGGAGAGGGCAGCTTTACCCCCGTCGAGCCAGGGCAACCCAGGGCTGTGCAACAAGTGTGGGCGGCACATCTGGCCTCCTGTCAGGCGGGCTGCAGGAGAAGGGAGAGGGGTCAGGGTGGGCTGAGGCTGAGCCGCAGGGCTCTGATGTACAGGACCACAACTCCCAAGACAACCAGCAGTAACCTTCTTCCCAAAGAAAACCAGAAACATGAAACCCCAACTGGCAATAATCAAGAATGTTCAGTCCGGAGCTAAAGGACAAGTGGCACAGAAGGAACCCCACCGGATTGGGGCCTGGAGGGACCCCCCCACAAGCCAGCTGGAAATGGGCAGAAACCCTAGGGTACCCAAACCCTCCCCCAAGAGGCTGCTGCCCCCACCTTTCCCCGCCCCAAAATTTCAGTTGCTGCGGATCTCACATCCGGGAAGCAGGCAGCGGGGCCTTCCTCCCCTCCCGCGCCCGGCGCGCGTCGCGCCGCGCCTGGGCTCGCAGTGACCCACTGGCCGGGGGCTCACCGTGCGCGGGGCTGTAGGAGACGCGTGCCCGCGCGTGGGCTGGGTTGGCGTAATAGGGGTTGCCTTGAGAGTCTAGGTGGTTGAAGAAGACGTCCACCTCATCCGGAGGCAGCAGCTGCGCGGGCTCCATGTAGTTGTGCGCCAGGCCCGGGTGATGCGAGTCGGGGTGCTGCGCATTCAGCACGGCGGGGTGCGCCATCCAGCGCGGCTGCTCCGGCGCCACCTCCATGACCGGCAGTGGAGGCTCGGGATCTGGGCCGAGGCGGTGGCGGCGTCCCTGAGCGACGGAAGGGGGCGTGAGGGGCGCCGCCACGGCCTGACACCCCCAAAGTCCCGCCACACGGAGTCCCGCACGCCGCTACGCCTCCGGCGAGCTCAGCGGAGGGAGAGTCCCGGGTGGGAGGAAAGCTCAAAGCTCAAAACGAAAGGAAGGCGGAGAAGAGGGTTCCGCCGCGCACATTCACATGGTGACCCCCGGTCCCAGAGCCAGGCATTCATGCACGCCGGGTCGCGCACGGGGACAAACCCCGACAGCAGTTACCCCAACAAATACATACGGAGTCTCACTTTAAGTCAGACACTCACACCGACCCCCCCTCCCCTTTCCCGGTACACAATCACATAAACACAGACCAAAAGTTGGAGACAGGCGCCTGGGCACCCACTGGGGCACATGAGCCCAGAGACACGCACATATCTACACTTGGCGCCAGATACACATACCGACTTGACGACCCCCCTCCCCCCGCAAACACGCACACGCAGCCCCAGCGGCTGGGAGCCAGCCCCCTGCGTGCCTCCCAGGAGGCACAATCAGGACCTCTCACCAAGCCACACCAAAGCCGTCACCCGCAGCCTGGGCCCGACCTTGAGCCCCGGAAGAGACCTCTCAGAGCTTGGCGCACCCCAGGCCCCGGCTAGTTCTCGCACCCCAAACTTACACACGCAGCGCCGCGGGGAGGAGGGACCGCGGCCTCAGGGACGGGGGATCAGCACCGGCGGGAGCCCGGGGAGTGGAGGGCTCAGGAACCGCGCTTCGGGCGGCTGGGCTCACGGGGTAGGAGCGGGGGACAGTGCGCGCCTCGGCCTCAGGCCCGCCCGGCTCCGGCCCCTCGGCATCCTCCGGCCGCCCTGGCGCCAGCTCTCGACTCCTGCACAGACATGAAGCGGGGGCCGTGCACGCCTAAGAAGCCCGCGCCAGCCAATCAGGGCCGCGCGCCGCCCAGCCTCCGCCCCCCATTGGCTGAGCCCGCAACTCCAGTCCGCCGGACTCCCGGACTGACCCGCGGGCCTGCCCCCCTCCGCCCGCGGGCCCCCTCCCAGCGCCCTCCCGGCGGCCCCTGCTGCCAACGCCCCCCGCCAGGACCCTCACCCCACTGGCCAACTGCTTCTCCCCTTCTTGAGGACTTTCCTGGATCCCCCTAACCTCAGGACCCTCCTCCCAGTAACTAACCCCCAACGGGGGACCCCTCCCCGGGAGCACCGGTCGTGCACCCTTCGGGTGCCTGTGTGTCCTCTCCCCGGGACCCCAGCCCTTCCACTCTCTGATACCACCTCCCAGCTGAAGTCTCAACTACCTACCCAGGCCACTACTCGGGCTCTGGCTGGGCAGGGGGTTGGGAGGACAACTGCGGGACAGCAAGAGCAGTGAGGGGCAAGAACTATGAGACTCGAGTGGGCACCTGGGCCTCGGACAACAAGCCGCTTAGGACTGAGCTTGACCGGGTGGAGGTGGCCTGGCTGGAGGCTCCAGAGAGGGGGAGGGGGCGTCCCCTTCCCGGGCGTGGCCTTCGCAGACCAGCGGGCCGAACTGCCTGGGGCGAGGCCACGGAGACCCGGACTGGCGCCGGCGCCGGCTCGAAGGATACGCCTCTGGGCAGGAGGAGGCATTTTTCCCTCCCGGGGGTCCCTGAGGCGGCCCCTGGGGAGAGGGAGGCGGGAGACTGAGAACAGAGTCCCCTAAGTCACCTGGAACTGCTCGACACACACCTCCAGTGCAGAGATCCAGCTCTGTGGGGGGAGTGGGCCCCGTGCACAAATCTCCTTGCTCTCTCCCATTATACAGACCGAGGAGACCGAGGCTCGAAGGGAGCCCACGGCCGACGAGGGAGGCGGGGGTGGGTGGGTGAGTGTCGGAAACAAAGAACTTTTGGGGGGTTGAGACAGGTGCGAGGGTAAGGGGGAGGAATCGCCCTCCTCCAGCCCCTCTCCCTTAGCTGAGTCTACAGCTCTCGGAGTTAGGAGCCCAGAGGGATCCCAGGTGGGTCCCGGACAGGGGAGAGGGCGGGGGTCTGGGCCACCCCCGGGAGGGTGGGGGGAGGGGCGGCGGGATTGACAGTCGGTAATTGGGTAACTGGAGGCGGCTTCTCCGGCCGGGCGGCCCCGCCACCGCGACGCCGGGCCCCTGACGTCACCCGATTCGCCAGGAAATGAACTTTTTAATAATCCGAGGAGGGAGGAAAGCCTTCGGTCCCCTCGGCTCGGGGGGCTCCCGGCCAGGCCCAGCTCCGCGGGCGCGCCCCAGTCACCCTCTCGCAGGCCAGCTCTGGGCAGCGCCGGGGTGGGGGGGGGTGCGGGCACCGGCCAGGGGCCGCCTCCTGCCTAGGCGTCCGACTGTCCCGTTCATCTGTCCGAGGCCCTGGCTCAGGTAAAGACGCGGGGCTGGAAGCGCGGAGCCCCATCTAGCTGGGAACCAGCGCGTCCCGGGCGCTTAGGGACCCTCCTGCCACGGCGACCCGCTGCGCCTCCCGCTCCGCTCCACTCCGAGGCGCGCGGGGCCCGCCCGGGCTTCTCGGAACTCCGCTCGGCAGGAGAGGAGCAGGAGAGGAGGCCGGCGCTAGCCGGGTAAAGCGCGCTGTGGCCGGGGAGTGGGAGCGCGACGCCGCGGGCGCCGGGCCTCCGCGGTCGGGCGAGGCAGGTGATTGGCTTCAGTGCCTTCCAGTTCGCGTTCCCCAAAACGCGCGCGGTCTGACCCGGACTCGCTGCCTCTCTGTTCGTCTGTCTCTCCTCCCCGCCTTTAGCTTACGATTCTTCATCAACGCGTAAAATGCGATCGTCAGAACCTCGAGCCTGTTTTGCGTCCCTGGAGCCTAGCGGGAGCTTATCAAAGACACCGCAGCCCCAGGGACAATCCCGGGTGTCCGACAAGGCTGTCCCGTCAACCTGAACCCCTGGACCCAGAGCAGGAGGCAGCCAGCCGTTTGCCGGCCCCGGGGCCGGGAACGCCGGAGCCGAGCGGAAGCTTTCCGTGAGGCTGGGATCCGCGCCTTGGCTCGCAGGGACGTGGCCGCTGCGGGCCCTCCGGAAAACAGGTAATTCGCTTTATTTCCCCCCCAAAGGCGTAATTCAAATGACCCCCATTCTGGGTGGGTCTGCAGTTTCATCTTTCCGAACTTGGCTAAAATACCCCTCCGGGGCAGCGTCTGGGCCACCGCAGGAGTGGAGGTGACCAGCCTGGCCGGGCCCCTGCCTGAACTGCAGCTCCAAGCTGCCCGTTGGCCTGGCGCAGAACCGAACGCGGGCGGGGATTTAATTACCCCGCTCGGCGGCTCAGAAAATCGCCGCGCGGAGAAGCTTAGCAGGGCGGTTAAGCAATGCTTGAGCAGGGGCCTCGGGAGATCCGCACCAGTCTCCCTTCCCGCAATCCCGGCCTAGAGAAAAAAGGGGGGCGGGGAGAAGGGAGCTCCCCCACCTCTCCTGAGGCCCCCAGGCTTGCCTTCCTCCAAAAGGCGGGCAGGCAGCCGGCTTGGCGGAGGCCTCCACTATGATTGGAGCTCCTGCGTTGGACACGGGACTGCTGCGTTCTCCCGCAGGAACGAACCCGCCTGGGAGAGAAAACAGGGACGCCAGGCAGGAGAAGGCCCAGCTGGCCAGTAAAACACCCCCCCATTCCAGTCACGAGTGTACATGTATGCCAGACAGACCAAGGGACACTAGCCAGGCATCTTGCCCAGTAGGCAGCGGATACCATCTTATCATTCGAACCCAAACAAACGACCGGGAAGGATCAGGGAGCCCCCCAAATCGGCTGGGATTGCGGGGGGCATCCTTGCGCCTGAGAAGAGCAGATTTATTTCAGTTTACAGCCTCGGGATTCGGGGTCTCCGGAATGCCCTCAGAGGGACGCCTTCCCTTTTTCATGTTTTTTTGTTCGTTTCCAAGGGTTGTTGCTTATAGCGGGTGCTGCCTTTTGATGGCACTGAGAAGCTGTCACTTTCCTTACATAAGAACAAGACTTCGAGAGGGACTGGGGAAGGGTAGCAGAAAAACTGAATTTTCTAACTGCCTTTTTCAAGTGGCCTGAGATTCCCCGAAAAAGCATGGGTCGTTAGTGCGGCTTGAGAAGCTTTCTCTGGGGAGCGGGCAGCGCAGGGATCCGAGGCCCGGTTCTATAGGGCCTCACCCGCCTGGGCCGTGGCCCTCAGCTGCCGGGTCTTCCCCATCCTACATCGCCCTCCCCTCTGCGCCCTTTGTTTAAACTTCCACCATCCAGGGTAGCCCCTCTGGGACCATAAGTTGGCCCTTTCTTTGTAACCTAATTCTTCCCACCTTTTCCTATGAGCATCTAATTGGCCGGCAGTGGAAGGGAGATTCAAAGAAACCAGTTTGCTTAGGGGACCTGCCTTCCGTAGGGATATTGAATTGTCAATCCAGCGACCTCCCAGCCCCACGCTGGCAATGTGCCTTGAGGAGTATGGAGGAGGAAATGGGGACCAATTCAGCCAGAGGGGCTCAGAAGTCCCCATTGGGCAAGGCCTCAGATCTGCTAGGCCTGCCGCCATCCCTCCAGAGGGGTTCTGCAATGGAGGGAACAGGGCTCCAATAGCCCCTTCGCTGGTTGGGGTTCACTTCCAGGCCCCCAGATGTGAAGGCTCCCACTCCTCTGGCCTCCATGATGGCTCTCCCATCCCTTACGTCTTTTGGGCCTTTTTGAATCTCAAAACCCAAGGCCCATCTTCCGAGAAGTCTTGGCGCCCTGGGTCGAGGCGCCTGGGAGATCCTCTATCTCCTTATCAGGTTGTAACCACCTACCTCCAAGCCGGACAGCCTCCCCCACGGGCCCTGCTGAGACCTGCAGCAGTGGGCGGCGTTTTTCCCTGCTTCACGAACAGCCACGGTTTACTATGGGTGCCTGGCGGCCCAGCGGCCAGGCAGCATGACAACTGGCAAATCCGTTTCGTTAGACGCAATTTGTTTGCAATTTGTCAACCCGGCTGGGAAACGCTCTCCAGACGCATTGCCCTACCTGGTTCTCCAATCCTGCCTACTCATAAACGAATCCCATCGCTAGGTGCCTGTGTAGACCCGGAGCTCACCGCCAGATGTTCCCGATCCCCGGGAGACGTAGCTTTTTCCAAAACAACGAATTTCCTTCAGTGTTTTCCGGGAAAGGAGAGGCCGCCACTCTCGGGGGCCCCGAACGCCGGATCTTTCCCCTCGCGGTTGGGGCAACCGGGAGTTCAAGCCTGGCCGCTGCTGAAGAATTCTAAATGCCCGGCGTCCAGACAGACCCAGACCGCCGTCTACGCCTCCCGGTGGCAGATCCCGGAGCCCGCGGCGGCCCTATTCTTTTTGAAATCCCACTAAACAGATTCCTACTCCGGCTTGGGGCTGGGGGGAGACTTCCAGACCCGGCGCTCTCCCCCACCCGCACCCCAGCCACACAGGATAAAGGGCCGCGGGGCGCGGCGCGCGGGGGCGCACGCAGGAGCGAGCCGGGTTAAGCCGCGCAAAGCCGGCGCACGGGACCAGTCGGCAGGTGCAGCCGCGGCTCTGCTGCCCGACTTGGGCGCCTCAGCCGCCGTGGAGCGGAGGTGGGGGCGGCCGAGACAAAGACCTCAGCTCCGGGGGCCGGGAGGTGGGGCGCTTTGCGAGGCACAGGGAATAACCCGGGCTCTCGGCCTATGTATGGCTGAATCCGAGAAATGGGAAAGCGGGAGGCCCGACGCGGGCCTGCTGTCCTCAACTCTGCAAATACTCCCTCAGGATTAGGCCCCTGTGCCCTGGGGTTCGAGCCGCTGGTAGGACCAAGCAAACCCCGAAGGCCACATGTCAGGGGCCACTGGGCTAGGCAGATCGCGTTTAGGGGGCCGGGTGGGCCAGACCTGGGGCCTGGAAGGGCCTTGATCAGGCGAAGGTGGGAGAACTTACCTAGCGAGGTGCGGCGGGCGGCGCCCCCGGGTGGACGGGGCCGGAGCGGAGCGGGGCGCTCAGCGAGGTGCGTGGCTAGGTGGGCCCACAGGACACCGGCGCGGGCTGGCAGCGTTCACCAGCAGGGCCCGGGCGGCGCGCCGAAAGGCTACATGGTGCGCGGCGGGCCGCTTTTGTTCGCCGGGTGGCCGACGGGGGCCGGCTGGGGTGGGGGCGAAGGCAGCCAGGAGATAGAGTCTTGAGCAGCGAGCCCGGGCGGCGCTGGCCTTGTTACCTCCCTCTCGCTCCCGCTGCCTCTCCCTCCCCTCCCCCGGCCGCAGCGGCCGCTGCTTTTTATTTCGACAGCACTTTGAGGGGGCGGGAGCGCCGCAGGGGGGCAGGAGGGTGCCCAGAGCTCTGCCCCCCGTTTCCCTGGTACAGCCGCCCGGCGGCAGGCCGAGGGCTGGTGGGCACTCAAGGTGCAACACCCTACTCGCCCATACTCCAGACTACTCCGGCCCTCGCAGGGGCGCACAAATGAGCACCCCTGCTCTCAAGGGTGTATGTTCAGAAAGTCCGGGACGTCTCTTTTTGGAGACTCTCCCGGGGGACCTTCACAAACCGTGGCCACAAGCGCTCACACACGTACACAGCTGCCTGCTCCTCTTCTCCAACCTTCTTTCAATAGTGCTCACGCACACACACATCTGTGCACACGCGTTAGTGCATACAGCTGTGGTTGCGTGGACATCCTCAGCGGGGAGATGTGGGTCACACCGGCATGCACACGTGCACACACCCAAATGTAGCTTGCGAATCTGGCACGCGCAGTGTGCGCGCGCATTTACGCGTGCACGCGCCTCTCTCTCTCTCTCTCTCTCTCTCTCTCACACACACACACACACACCTCCCTCACTTCCAGGCTGATTCGGCTAAATGTAGACACATGGCCTCTCCCTTTCCCACCTATACCTCCACTTGAATTCTCCCAACAGCAGACCAGGGCATTGCAGAAGTGGGGTGTGAGGTGTCTCCCTGGCCCATCCCCAAGGAACCCTCTGGCAGGAGGGAGCTACGGAGTAGAGAGCTTGTCTTTGGAAGGCTAGGCAGAGGAGCTGGGTGTGGGAATCTTCCCGGCAAGAATGCTTTTGGGTTTGTGAGCTAGGAGAACCTTGGTATTGTACTTCCGAAGTCCCCACCTCAAAATTCAACTCCACAGTGGTTGTGTGTGGGGGGGCGTGTGGTCCCATTCCAGCTGCCCTGGGGGACTGAAAGTGGCCTGGGGATCTTGGGCCCAAAGAGAAAGTGCTTTGCTTTGGAATCGAGGGGAAAACTAGTGTGTGTCGCAGAGAGGAGTGTCCAGCCCCCCACCCCCTTCTCTGTGGACATCTTCTATCCGTGGGTCTTTCTTTGAAGCTGATTGACTGTGTTGCATGTGTTATTTGCTGTGTGCACACAGAATATCTATCCTGGGTGCCCCCGTGTGTCTGTGTGCATTTGTGAGCACGTGGGAAGTCTGCAAAACTGAGTATATTAAAATGCCCCTTTCTTCTTGTGGGTCCCTGAGAGTTTGTATATTGAGAGTCTGTGTTGTGTGGGTCCCTGAGAGTTTGTGTATTATGTGTGGCTGTTTCAGAGCCTGACCTCCAAAGTGCACATGGGAGAGTGTCTCCATGGAACTGGGTGTGTGTCCCTGAGGCTGTGTATCTGTGTGACCATTGTGTCCATGAATCATTTGATGGGAAGCAATCACATCCAAGTGCTTGTTTATAAAATGGTGTATGTCCCTATGTGGGTCGGTAGCTGTGCATCTGGGTATCCTGTGTCTATGAATTGGGGTGTTTGTGCATGTTTGTGTGTCTGCCTGCCTGTCTTTCTTTACCAGCATCGGCTATCTGGTGTGTATCATTATATCTTTGAACTGATTACGGGAGGGTGGACAGTGTAGAACGTAGCCAAGTGTGTCTGCGGATCAGTGTATAGCACTGTGTATGAACTGGTATGTGTTGGGGTGGGTGTTTTTGTCTGTTTACCTAGGGTGTGGGCATCTGTGTGTACAAATGTATCTTTGAACTATGTGTGTTACTCTACCCAGCATTACCCTGTGTCTGTTGTCTGGGGAGGAGTGTGTCCCTGGGTGACACACCGTACGTGTGTCTTCCTAGATCACCCACCGTCCCTAACTGGCGGGGCAGGCGGCCAGTGGAGCTCCAGGGTGCCATTTGTGAGGGCACTTTCTGTCTGTCTGTGGGAGGGGGAGATGAGCTGATAAGGCTTATCTGCCGACGCCAGCACCGTGCTGAATAACCGTTCTAATGAGGTGGCCTCGCTGGGACCACCCGCTCCCAGGGCCCCCAGCCTCACTGGGGCACAAGAGCAAATCCCCATGAACCCAGCAGGGCCGGAGTGTCTCCTGGGCCTTTTCTAGTTCTGTCTTGTTTCTTCAAAGGCGGGTTCCAGGTTTTACACTCCCACCCCACCTGCCATCTCTCCGCTGGGCTGGGCTGGGCTGGGCTGGCCAGAGCAGGCTGGAGCCTCCCAGCCTCTGGTGTGCATTCAGGAACACAGCCTTAAGAAGCTAGGGGATGTGAGGCCACTTGATGTGGGGGACCCTCTAGGGTGGGAGTAGATTGAGAGATTGAGAGACATGGAGGCCCAGGGATGGCAAGACCCAGAGAGACAGGGAATGGGGGACAAGACAGGGAAATCCAAATTTTAAATCTTAAAAAGAAACTGGCATAAAGGGACAGAGACACCAGGAGGGAATGGAGGCGTGGGTCGGGGACATGCAGGAACAGACAAAAACAAACAACTAAAAAGTGGCAGAAAGAGTCAGAGAGAAGGGAACAAAAGCAGCCAAAGTGTTAACCAGAGAGGGAGGGAGATACATGGACAGAGAGACAAGGGAGAGATACAGAGAGGAGAGAGAGAGCAAAACAAAACAAAAATAGAAAGATGGGAAGACAGAAGGGAACCGGGACAGGCCTTGAGAGCAGTGGGAGAAGAGGGAGAGCAGAAAGGACTCCAAAAGTGTCAGGGAAAAGTGGGGACGCGGCAGACAGGCTGGGCGGGATGGACAGATCGATGGAGGGACCGAGGCAATACAGAGCCCCGCGCCCCACGCGAGCGCGGGAGTCCGATCGCCAGGCTGCGGGCCGGGAGGGCGCGAGCGCAGAGCCCGCGGGCCGGGCGGGGCACCGAGCCGCGGGCGGCGGCGACGGGCAGGGGGGTCCGCGCGGGGCTGCGCCGCTGTCCGGGGTAATTTTTCATCTCGGCCGGCTAATCTTTGTTCCCGGCGAAGATAATGAATAGCCAATCGTTATCTGCCCGGCTCCCGGAGGCTGCCCGAGAATGGGGTTGTACAGGGCTGGGAATTGTTTCCAAAGTGCCGCGGAATAAATGGTGTTCCTTATCTCTGCCTTCCAGATTATCGGAGCCCTTTCAGAGCGCGCACAACAAATGCGCCCGCCATCGAATGCATCATTTACCACCGCAGATCCGCGCGCTGATGGGCAGGCAGATAGCCGTCCGCGGGGGGCACGCCGGGCGCCCTGTGCCCGCGCCGCCTGCCTGCCTGCCGGGGGGTACCCGCCTGTGCGCCCCCGGGTGTGCCCGGCGTGTTTGGATGGACATTCGCCTGTGCCAGTGGATGGGCACTGAACAAGAAAGGGTATTAGTGTGCATGCAGGGATGTCAAGAAGTGTGCTACAGGAAAGTGCAGATGTGCAAGCCCACATGCACATGCGTGGTGGGCATCTGTCCCTGGAGCTGGCCCCGCTGAGGCTGTTTGAGGGAGCACAGAGGAAGGGATGTTGCACGTGAGTGTGTAGGCATGCATATTACTCGGGGTGGGTAGACACGTGTGTGAAGGACTGGGTGTGCAAATCTGTGTCTACAGGTGTGGTGACCGAGCGTATTGTGTACGTATCTGCCCTGGGTGAGGCTGTTTAGGAATGCACACAGGATGCGTGTGTATGTGTATATTTGGACATGGGTGTGTTACTCTTCTGAGTGTTGTGTGCCTGCAGGTGTCCAACAGTACTCAGTGCTGTGGGTTCATACCGGCCTGTAAGCACACCTGTGACTGCTGGGAGTGAGTGAGTGCGCAAGGTGTCAGTGTTCACCCCGGTGTGCACAAATCTGCGTGAAGGCGGTTGCGTTGTTGTGTATCTGTCTGCCTGGGTGTTCCGGGGTGTGCTGCAGAAGGGTCAAGAGGGAAGGGCAGTGGTTGGGTTGTGCCTGCGCCTGCACGTGTAGGCTCCGTACGCACGAGCTGGGGAGCTGGGACCCCTCTCCAGCCTGGGGAAGAGCCAGCCAGCGGGGAGCGAAAGGTGCGTGCGGGTGTGATAGACGCCAGTGTAAGGAATGGAATGTGCTAAACGTTGTGTGCGGTTGTGTAAGGGAGAGGGGTCTTCAGAGGAGTTTGGGAACACCCAGGGGTCCCATCCCGCCTCAGCAAGCACGCCCTGACGGGGCCCCACAGCCTCCCCGCTCCGGACCTGAGGAAAGAGACTGGAGCCCCGCCGCCCGAGGTCTCCGCGCCGTGAGTGACACGCGCCGCCGACAAAGGCTGTATTTTTCCAGGCTCGAGCCCCGCCCGCGTGCGCGCGGGGGCGCGCGCGCGCGATGGTCCCCATGGCGACGCAGATAGCGCCGCAGCCATTTTCCCTATCTCCCCGGGGTCTATTATACCGCGGGATTAGCTCATCTCCAGGCAGGTCAAACCCAAAGTCACACAACCTGCGGCGCGGGCCCCGCCTCCCCGCCTGGCTGCCCCTCCCCCGCCTGAGGGGTCCGGTGCGGCCCCCGCGACCCCCGAGTCGCGGCCCTTGCGCAGGCGCAGAGCGCCACCTGGCGACCGCCGGTGTCCTGAGTGGGGTCCCCGGGAGCCAGCAGCCTGAACCGGAGTCACCAGACAGAAGAGCTGGCGCAGGGGTCCTTTCCTCCCTGAGGGGGACTCTCCAGAAGCAGGGGCTTTGTTTTGTCACTGCTGTGTCCCCAGGGCTGGGCTGACACACAGTAGGTCTCCATAAGTGCTTCCTTAAAGGATAGATGGCTGGCAGGAAGTTACAGACCTAGCAAACTGTCAAAGGTCACACCGCTTAGTTGTCAACAAGAAATCATTTCTTAGAATGTATCCACTGAATTTAGGGTAAAAGCCAAACTCCTCTGGAATCCGGGTAATAGCCTTTGCTGATCACTCAGGCCTATTCTCCCCCTTTCTTGATCCAGTCATAGTGGCATTCTTTCTGTTCTTTGAACAAGCCAGAACATTCTCACCCCAGGGCCTTTGTGTCTGCTCTTCCCACTACCCAGAGTGTATACTGTCTCTGTTCAAATGTCACCCCTCAGAGAGCGAAACTGAGCCTTCAGACTTTTCCTTTAGAGTAAGTACTTAGCACAAGTAAACTAGTCTCCTTTCTGTTTGCACAAGTTGCCAGCTTTCCTGCCCCACTGGAATGCTAGGCTTCCTGGGGGAAAGGGAGTCAGTCTTGTTCCCCAGCAATAGTCCAGGGCTGGAAACTCCTCTCCCAGCTGATCAGTATCAGGCACAACTTTGGGAATGAGTGAATGGGGACAAGAGAAGGCCAGAGCAAGTGGGACAGACTGTGCCCTGCTGTCATGATCATTTTTCCTTATCGTTAGACCATTCCCCCCTACCCTGCCCCTGTCTTTTGCTCACCCTAGCCCCAGGATGCCTGGCTCCACCAACCTCCTGGGACTTAAGGGAAAGAGCATCATGGAGGCCCCTTGGCAAGGCGCGCCTGCCTTGCTTGTGGGGGCAGAGAACACTTATCACCCTGTGTTCTCAGGGAGCCGTGGCCTCTCTGGAAAGGCCTGGGCCACCGGGTAAGACTTCACTCATAATACAAGATAATTATACCCAAATTGTCATGAGGAGGTGATGATTAATTGCTATGCACGGGACAGGGACTGTGAAGTAACTAGAACTAGAGAAGGCCACAGCCCCCACTGAACTTCCAGGCCCGTCTCCAGGCCAAGCCTCATCCTGCTCAGGGGGCTGGAGACAAACCCTGTGAGAGGCTTTGCCCAAGGACTTGGAGAATTAGCTCCCTGTTCCCTCAGAAGTGCCCCAATTCCTTCCCAGGAGAGGAGCTGTGGGTTAACACAGGCTCTTGGGCCAGGACTCCCCCCATCATATACTCACACCCCTTCTGGCTGGGTGGCCTTAGGCAAGTCACTTTCCCACTCTGAGCCTCAAGTCTGCTTCTGCAAACTTCCCTCCAGGGTTATGAGAATTACTCATAAGCATGTATTTAAAAGGAGTTTTGTGATCCAGGCTTTGAAAATTGGCAATCCAAGTCTCAGGGGCCCATGCAGTGACCAATTGTCACCAGCATTTCAAAGTGAGAGATTTCACATAAAGAACTTCATTTTCAGCTTCTTGAAAATTTGGAAGATTGGCCTGATAATGTAATGCTGGAGTTCTGTGTCACCCGCCTCCTGTGCCCTGGGGTCTTCACCCACCCACTTCAGGCCCACAGGTCAGGGATGTGTCCCTCATAGAAATACCATTTGCCGTAGCTGTGTTAGTTTTGGTCTTCCTTCTCTGTATCCTTTGTGGAATTTCCAATATCTTTCTCCCTCTAGGTACTGTAAACCACTTAATAATGAATTAATTAATAAATCCAATCAACACTTTAAAATAATGTGTTCGGCCACACTGTTTTAGACCCTGGATATACATACAGTACAAATAAAAGAGAAACAGGGAACAGTCAGACATAACCACACAGATTAATACATCATCACAAATTGTGACAGAACTCTGAGGGGCAAAGAACATGTATTTACAGATATTGAATCCAAGCGTATTTGCAGAGACCTACGTTGGGTCAGGTCATGTGCTGATAGGGGAGGGCATGGGACGAAACACGATATGGTCACTGTGTGCAGACAACTCACAGGGTGGTGGAGGGGTAGGCACATTAAGAGATTCTGTTAAGGGGCGCCTGGGTGGCTCAGTGGGTTAAGCCTCTGCCTTTGGCTCAGGTTATGATCCCAGGGTCCTTGGATCCAGCCCCGCATCTTTCGCTCAGGTCATGATCCCAGCGTCCTTGGATCCAGCCCCGCGTGGGGCTCTCTGCTGAGCAGGGAGGCTGCTTCCCTTCCTCTCTCTCTGCCTGCCTCTCTGCCTACTTGTGATCTCTGTCTGTCAAATAGATAAATAAAATCTTTAAAAAAGAAAGAGAGAGAAAGATTCTGTTAATTCCAGCCTGTGAGAATTGGAAACACAGGGTGCTTAGGGAGAGGCCCTTATCCTAGTCTGAGAGCATAATATATAAAGAGTGCCTACAAATCAATAGAACAAAAAATAAAAGAGAAAAAAAATAGGCAAAGGGTGTGAACAGAAAAGGAACCAGAATTGGCTCTTAGATTGATGAAAACATGCTCAGTCTCACTCAGAAAAATGAGCATTTAAAATATGTTGAAAGATTTGGGAAGAGAGAATTCCTAAAATTAGATTGTGGTGATGGTTGGAACTCCCTAAATTTACTAAAATTTATGAGATGTACATTTAAAATGAATAAACCTCATGGTGGGTAAATTATACCACGTAATGCCATTTGAAAATAAACCCTGAAACACTTTGAGATACCGTTTTATATCTATGAGTATTAGCCATACCAAAACATTTGATTACATACTGTGTCCCTACGGGACTGGGGAGACATGTTGGTGAGAGTGCCAGCAAATGCACTCTTGGGGTGGGACAGGGAATGTGACAATATCATATTCACAAACACATTTATGCTTTGAACCAATAATTCTATTTATGGGGTATAGATATGCCCTCACGCTTGTGAAATTTGTAAGAAAATTCACTGTAGCCTTGTACTTGGTGGCAAATGATTGGAAACGAAAGATGCTCATGCAGAAGAGATGGTTAAAGTATTGTCATATAACCAAAAAGTAGAATGTTATGCCACTATCATGAAAGAAAAAGAAGAAAGAAATAGAGGAAGGAAGAAGTAAGGAAGAGGGGAGGCAGAGGAGGATGGAAGGGCAGAAGGAAGGAAGGAAGGAAGGAAGGATGGAACTGTTTATGTCAGGATATTGAATGATCCCCGAATAATTTTAATGGAAAAATAACAGTGTATAGGAGTAAGTATGGTGTGCTACCATTTATTAAAAATGGGGATGAGAGGGGCGCCCGGGTGGCTCAGTCGTTAAGCATCTGCCTTCTGCTCAGGTCATGATCCCAGCGTCCTGGGATCGAGCCCCACATCAGGCTCTCTGCTCGGCGGGAAGCCCGCTTTTCCCTCTCCCACTCCCCCTGCTTGTGTTCCCTCTCTCACTGTGTCTCTCTCTGTCAAATAAATAAACAAAATCTTAAAAAAAAAAAAACAGGGATAAGAGAGAGTATATTTGTGTACATATTTATAGGCTTTCTCTGGATGGCAAACACAAAAAATCATTAACAATTGTTGGCACGCACAAAAGGACGGAGGTATGGGTGGCAGGGGCCAGGGATCTGAGAAGACTTTTCACTGCGTAAGCTTCAGTTACTGTTGAAACTCCACAGATGAATAAAGATACAAAGATTAAGATAGAGATAGATATATACAGTTTCACATACTCACATGTATAGCCATATATATCCCATACAAAAAAACTACAGATTAAAAACCAAAATGAAAAAAAAATTATTAAAAAGATAAAGAGGGAGAAGAACAGAACTTTGCCAAGAAAAGTCAGGACAGAAACTTCCCATAGCTGACCAGAATGGAGAGAAGAAAAGGATTCTCCTGTCCTTTTGGCCAAAATATAAACTGGTATAAATATTCTGCAGGTGGGCACCTAGGGGGCTCAGTTGGTTAAGCGTCTGCCTTTGACTCAGGTCATAATCTCAGGGTCCTGGGATAGAGCCCCGCATTGGGCTCTCTGCTCAGCAGGGAGCCTGCTTCCCCCCCACCCCCCGCCTGCCTCTCTGCCTACTTGTGATCTCTGTCAAATAAATAAATAAAATCTTTAAAAAAAAAAAAAGTAGTCTGCAGGTAATTTCGTTGCACCTTCAACTAGAAAGTTGAATATAGAAATGCCACACGACCGGGCAAGTCCTCTTCTAGGCATATGAGAGCTCTCACACATGAACAAAAGAGATGTGGGGCAAGAATATTCGTGGGGCACTATTTGTAAAAATAATAAGAATGGTAATTAAAATTTTAAAAAATAAAAAAGAAAGAAAAAGAAAAGAAAAGAAAAAATGTTTTCAAGATTTTATTTCTTTATTTGACAGAGTGAGAGAGATCCCAAGTAGGCAGAGAGGCAGGCAAAGAGAGGGGGAAGCAGCCTCCCACCAAGCAGAGATCCCGGTGCAGGGCTCGATCCCAGGATCCTGAGATCATGACCAGAGCTGAAGGCAGAGACTTAACCCACTGAGCCACCCAGGCGCCCCTAGAAAGAAAAAAATTTAAAGGAAACTCTGGATGCAAGCTAATGGCCCATCTTGAGGACACTGGATAAACAAACAAATAGTGGAAAGTTCTTTGAATGGAATGCCATGCAGCAGTCACATTGTACAGACTGGCGCAAAGCACATAACGTTTTAGTCAAAGAAAGAACGGGCAGAATTTTAAACACGGAACAGTACTGTGTATTGTTTATGAAAATGAAGCATATGAAGTAATAGTACAGAAACATAAATGGAATTAAATCTTCTGCAAGATTTAAAAATAACATCTGGAAGGGAGCAAGCCAGGACGTGTTCCTGGGTGGGAAAGCTTGACGCCACAAAATGCCCATTCCTCCACAGTTTCTGTATCTGTAATTCAAATTAAAATAAGATTAGGGTGATTTTTTAATTAAAAAAACTGGGCAAAATGGACCTCAAAGATTGCATGGCAAAATAAATGCCCAAGAATAACCAAGGAAAATTGGAAAAAGAATAACATGGGGTTTTCACCTTACCGAAAATCAGAACATATTATAAAGCTGCTATAATCAAATCAACATGGTATTGGCATAAGAACAGACAATGGGAAAGAAGAGAGAACGCAGAAATAGACTCCAGTAGAAGTAAGAATGTAATGCTTGACAAAGGTAGTATTTCAAGTCAGTCAGGGGAAGAGTAGATTGTGAAATATTTGGTGCTGGCACAGGTGGCTATCTATCTGGAAGGAAATAAAATTGGACCCCTCATATATCTAAATAAAGTCCAGATGGATTACAAATTTTAATGTGAAAAACAAATGACTTGCAAAGAAATTCCTGGAGGTGACACTTGACATCTAGCTGGGGGAGCAGAGGGTGAAAGGGCTCAGTGCCTTCTGGAAGGAGCAGCAGCTCAAGATGGCCGGGGTGAAAGGGGGAGGCCCCGGTGTATGGGAACCCTCCCCAAAGTCTGGTTACATCCATTACCGTCTTCAGAATTGTTTGCCACATCTCTTTACCCCTGTGCTATTTCATTAATAATTTACTTTATTTTTTTCAAGATTGTATTTATTTATTTGAAAGAGAGAGAAAAAGCATGGGGTGGGGGGCAGAGGGAGAAGTAGGCTCCCCAGTGAGCAGGGAGCCCAATATGGGGCTGGATCCCAGGACACCGGGATCACAACCCAAACCGAAGGTAGCTGCTGAACCAACTGAGCCACCCAGGAGCCCCAGTCTTTACCTTAAATCAATTCCTGTTTTTATAAACCAAATTGTTTCTAAAAGGTAAATTTGTATTAATGCCAAAATCGCAGGTTCAATGGGCTTGTTATATATTTTTTTAATAGGTTACTACCAAGATGAAAAAAAAAAAAAGTCTGAATTACCTTGGTAGGATGGGTTAAATTGGCATATTGGAAATCACTCTGCCACCTTGTGGGCAGGAGGGACTGATTGGAGGGGTAAGATGGGGAAGGAGTGAGCAGGGAAGTGGCCAGAGCAACAATCCCTAGAATATAGTGAGATACAAGCCAGGGTCTCCCACACCCACTTTCAGGGTGTCTTTTCCAAATCTGACCACTCCCCGCATCAACACAGCTACCTCCCCGCCATCATTTCACCTAGATTACTGGGCTAACTTCCTCAGTGGAAGTCCCCCAGATTCCCTCTGTCCATTCAGAACGCAACAGCTAGAGGGATCCTGTGAAAATGTAACTCAGACCCTGTCCCTGCTCCACCCACACCCTCTCAGGCTCCTGTCTCACTCAGAGGAACCCATGCCATCTCTTGCCTCTTTGTCTCTCTCAACTCCTTCCCTTTGCTTGCTCAACTCCAGCTCAACTGGCTTCCTTGCTGTTTCTCAAACGTATCTGACACACGTCCACCCCAGGACATTTGCACTTGTTGTTGCCAGTGCCTGGATATCTACACGGCTTCTTCCCTTCCTTCAGGTTTCTGCCCAAATGCTGCCTTCCCCAAGAGGACTTTCTGGTGAAGGCCAAGCCAGCTGTGGGTGACAGCCAGGGTCTAGATGTGTCCTAGAGACCTTGTAAGCTCTGTGCCGCATCTGGGCAGAGAGGCTCTCCCTAGGTCCTAGGTTTAGGGCCTCCCTCAGATGCCTAAGCCACTGCACCTGAAGCCAGATACATCCCTGGCCTTTCAGTTACATGACCCAACCATATAGCCCCTCTCGTTTTCTTCCTTTAGCCAGTCTGAGGTAGGTGTTGTCATCTCTCACAAGAGAGTCCTAGTAATCCGAGCTGTAAGAGAGGAAAGATGACCACAAATTCTCCATTACTGACAGAGACATCCCCTTCCCTTGAGTCTGGGTGGTCTCTGTGACTACTTGACAAGAGAAAATGGTGGAAGGATCACCAGGTTTCCAGGTCCAGGGCTTTGATTACTAGCTTCCACCCCCTCTCTCTTGAAACCCTCTCCATGGGAGTCCTGACCTGCCATGTAGGAAGTCCAGCTACCCTGAGGTCACCAGGCCACCAGGAAGCCAGAGCCAGCCAGTTGGAGCGACCGCAGGCAGAGAATGAGTCACCTGGTGTTGAACCATCCCAGCCCAAGCTCCAGGGATCAGTGGGCAGACAGGAGCTCT